GGCCGCTGAGCCTGCGCGTCCGGAGCCTGTGCTCCGCAACGGGAGAGGCCGCAGCAGTGAGAGGCCCGCGTGCCGCAAAAAACAAAAACAAAAACAAAAAGTACTAGGGCATGACCGACCTTTACTGAGGTTTGAGGTTACCTGGCCAAGCAGGTAACTTCAAGTGGGAGGCCAGTCAACCCAGCTCTGCCAACGTCACCCCTTTTCCTCCAGGCATGCCGCTGGGTCCTCCCCTTTTCAGCCCCTCCTTTTTGCTGTTCATGCTTCTTCCCTCTCTCTGGTCCTTCTTCAGTCACTCCTGTTGAGTTTTCTTATAGAACACCCCTCACTCTATCCTACTTAACTGCTTCCACGCACAGATGGGAGAAATTCACCTTCCAGAGCCAAGCAGGCTTCGGAAGCTGTTGTCAAAGAAACCTGACCCCTCCTTTGCAAGAGAGAAAAGGTGCTGTATGTCTATATATTGCAATGGAAAGAAACCCACTATGCATCTACATGCACTGAAATCTCCCACCTTGACACATCCTCTCTCTTGACCCTATATCCCCCTCTCCATCCTGACTTTTTTTCACAGCCAAGTTTCCTGGACCATCTACTGATACTCACCGTTTCTCCTTTGTCCCAACCAGTAGACACTTCCTGATCTTTTTCTTTCCTAACCTCCTTGTAACATTTGACATAGTAGATACCTCCTTCCAGAAACTCTTTTTTGTCCAACTGCTCTGGCCAGGGCTTCTCAATCTCTTTTGCGCTGTCCTTTTCTCTTATTGCCTTCTTAGAAGTCATTGAGCCCAGCTCTGGCCTCAGGGCTCACCTGTTCTACAAGCAGACCCTGGTTGGTCCCACCCACCCATGGACTTAACCACCTCTGCTGTGCTGCTATGGGGTCTCAGCTCATTGCCCTTGGCCATGCTCTGGGCAGCTCGGGACAACACTTGGTTGTCTCCTCGGTGTCTAGAATTCAACACCTACAAAGTGAACTCATTCTCTTTCCCCCAAGTATGTGTCCATGGTCTAAGCCAGCAAGCTCCCTTAGCCACCACCACCAAATCCAAGCTGGGCAGAATCTCCTCTTTCATGCCTCTGAAAGCCACTTTGCTCGCCCCATCCCACTGCTGCCGGCTGAGCAGAGCGCCCATCACTCCCTCCTCGGGGTAAGACCATTGCCCTTGGCCTTCCAGATCTTCTAATCCACACCCAACACGGCTGCCAAAGGAATCTTTCTTTAATGCAAAGTTAGCCATACCCTGCCTCCCCTGGCTTGACACTATGAGGCTCAGAGCTTTCAAGATGACATTTCAAGCACACAGGGCCTTTTGTCATTTAATCTCTTCTCTCTCCAGCTCCCCAGTTCAACGTAGGCTCCATGTCTTCTGGGAAACTTGCCTGACCCCTGCTGTGCCTCGCTAGCAGCCCACATTACTCTGATGAGGGACTTCACTGTCTGTGAATTTCTAGAGGGCAGGCCTGGTCTAACTCAGCTTCATCTCTCCAGAGTCTAGCTCATGGTAGGTGTTCAAAAATGTTTGATAAAGACAGGAGGGAATATCTCAGGCTTCTCAGCTCATAAGGTCTCTGCTGAGACCTTGACATTGTGCAGGAGGCAGAGATAGGGACCCGTACAGGGAAACCCAAAAGTCCAAGGGTGCTACGACTTGGCTGAGAGACTTCTGAGGACCAAGGCAATCGGGGGAAGTGCAGCCTTCCTCCTACTTGGGAAGATGTAATTTCCATCATTCTGTCTCCCCAGGACTCTGCTCAAGGAGGCTTCTGCCGTGGCAAGTGAAGGTGGTTCTTCTGGAAGGGTCTGTCCTGCTGTGAAGGTAGTTAGTGGTGCTTGGACAGCATAAAGGTGCCACAGACATTTGTTGATTGCACACAGGAAGTGTTTTTGGCTTTGCCTCAAGGCAGGGGCGCATTTTATGTGCCAAGACCTCCCCTTCTGCCCCATTATGCTTGACTTAGAGAGACTCCGGCCCCCTCTTGGCTTGCCTTCTGAGCACTGAGAGGACAAGCATGGTGCTGTGGTGGCAGTTGGAGGGGACATATGATTTAGAGCCTTCTCTGGTGAGGCCACCAGTCCTTGAGGGGCTTCGCTGCTGGGCCACTCCTTAGATGCCACTGACCTGTGACCAAACAGTCCAGGAATACTTTCCCAGACCAGTGGCCATTGGGCACTTCAGGTATAGGTGTCACCAAGAGGGCAGCCAAGAAGGAGGTGGCACCTGGTACCCAAGTCCAGTGCCACAGGCCAATTCCTCAAGCCAAGGGAGACAGGCACCTAACTCACCATGACAGGACAGGACCCTTGCCAAGTCCTTCCTGAGAGGGGGAAGAGCCACTTCCAAATAAACACAAAGCTGGGTCTACAAAACATGGCCTTCCTGGCATCGGTGGTCAGAAGTGACAAGCCTGCCAAAGCTCTGCGATGCATGGCGTGCCTGGCATCAATGGTCAGAGGTAATGAGCTTGCCAAAGTTCTATGAAAAATAGCTTTCCAAGGTATAGAAACCAAAGGGAAACACTGCAGGTACTTAACTGGCTTGGAGCCACGGTGACTTAACTAGTCTACGGAAAATCAGTCAACGTTCACATTAGTCATCAAATTGAAATATCGATAAAGGACTATGCTTTAGTCTAATACACTAACAAAAATTAACATTTTAATGACAATTTGTAACGTTGGGAAGGATATGGTAAAACTGTTATCTTCACACATTGCTCTTGACAGTATATATTTGTACAGTCTCCCATGGAGAGCAATTTATCATTATCTGTCAAGAATTGCAAGAGTTCATGACCCTCTCTCCAAAGAAAATAAAGCAAGATATGGAGGAAAGTTTCATTAGAGTGTTAATTGTCATTTTGACAGATGTATCAAGTTTTCAAATTATAGTGCATGACAAACGTTTTAATATTGTGTTAGGTATTGAAACGATGACCGTGAGAACAACGTTGCAACATGGAAAAGTGCCTGTGACAATAAGAGGACACAAGTCCGTGTGTGTATATAAGGATGACAAGCGAGTGAAACAGCGTTCACAGCAAAGTGGAATCTGAGTCAATCCACCAAAATGATAACTGTGGTTGTGTCTGGGGGTGGAAGCGATGGGGGATTATTTTTTCTTTTTCAAATTTGGTATAATGTGGTATAACAAGAAAAATTTTTTTTTAGAGATTGGAGGGTTGCCAAGTGGAGATAAAAGAGACAACTGAGAATCCTCTTCAGGTGAGCGGGAAGAAGCCTTTCAGGCAAGAAAGGCAGGGTAGCCCGACCTCCCAGGGCTGGATTCTGCTTTGGTTTGGACAGGGCAGGGTGCAGGCTGGGCACAGAAGAAAGGACAGGCCTTTGCTATACTGCTTTTTCTTGGGATCTGAAGAAGTCTGGGGATGCGACAAGCTGATCTTAACTGGGGAAAGGTTGGAGGTCTCACACAAGGCCTGTGTGGGAAGGCTTTTGGCTCTAAAATGGGCAGTCTCTCAACGAATCTGGCATGGGCCCATGAGAACCCCAGGGGGAGCCTGAGGAAGTGATGGTTTCAACACTTCTCCAAGGAACCGGTGAGGAAGGAGGCCAAGGAGAAGGGATGGGTGAGGGCCGGCAGGCAGGGAGCTATGAGGTTCTCATGGGCAGTGACAGTCACAATGCCTGGGCTTGGAGGAATAAAAGGAGGCATTCTGGTCCTCCAGTGGGAGGAGGGTGGAGCATGGCTTTGAGATGTACTCATGATCGTGTCTTAAGAGAGCAGGCTCAAGTTGAAGGAGACACTAGGCCAGGTGCATAGGGCACACACATAGCCCAAAGCCTAGTGTCAGAATTTTGTGTAGAAAGAGGCAGCTGAACAAATAGATGGATGAATAAATGAACGCATGAGGCTTTATGCAAAGCACGGGGGTGTGATAACATGGCTGCAACTGGATCTGACATTGTCCCATCTCAACTCACCATGTGTCACAGCAGCTAGCTCTTAGAAACATCAAAACACGTCTTAAATAATCCCTACGGAGAAACTTTATCAACCAGAAAGCATGTATGGAGATGCTGTGAGCTCCTTAGAGCCAAGCCTTGTAGGATACAAAGAGCCCCAAGACAGAGTTCCATCCTACGAGGGGCACCTCATCACTCCCCTACCCCCACATGTAGGTTCTTATTCTTGGGTCTTGTCTGAAATACTTTAGGGCCAGTGCTACAAAATCAGGGGCATCATATTCGAAAGTGACAATCTGTGGGGCAACGGAGAAGGGTCAACCTACAAAGCGAGAAACAAATCTGAATGTAAATCAGGTGAAGGCATAAATATCTTTTAGACTTAAGCGCAGACAAGAAAGTATGCAAAATTAGGGGGAAACCATTTCATCTTCATTATGTGTGTGCTACGCTCTCTTTTGCACTGGGAGTGACTTTAATTCACCCGTTTATTTGCATCTGGACAAAGAGAAACCTAAAATACTTTCATTATCTTAAGAGAGCGATTAGCCAGCTGAAAAGAATGTTCCTCCTGACAGCAATTAATCTTGGTCAGCCTCCTCTCTGCTCCCAGGACTTGCTTTGCTGAGTCATTCCACTAAGCAGGGTCCCCAGCCACGGAGCCCAGCTGCCTGCAGCCACCATGGAACCTTAGGATCTCACCATTGGGGTTATTTTCACTGCTGTCACTTTGTTGGTTTGTGTGTGTGTGTGGTGTGTGTGTGTGTGTGTGTGTGTGTGTGTCCTTAGATAAGAAGCATACTATTCATGTAAAATTATGTATTTAGGTAAAAATCTATATTTAAGATCATGTCAGAGCTTGAAATGTGTATAAAATTGGCACATTCTTGGACTCCAAAGAGAAAGAACCTTCCTTTTCATCTGGTTTTAACTTCTGCTTCTAAACAGCTGTTTATTCTGTTTTATAAAGATCTCCAAGCAGAATGCTTAAGCAAAAAAGAGGAAGGAGCAGAATAATAGATATACTGTAACACCAGTTCCATCAACACACACACACACAACCACAGGCACATACACATATACATGAAAAAATCTGAATGGCTTACTAAACCATTGATAGTCATGATATCGGGGGCTGTGAAGATAGAGGAAACTCATTTTCTAAATGTTGCTTTTCTCTAATGTATGATTATTTTATATTGAGTTTATATTACTTTTGTAACTAAAACCAATAAAGATTGAATGTTAAAGATGATCAGGCACTAAGACGCTCTTTGCATGAGAGGTTTTCCTAGTGATGAAACATCTTTTTAATTGAGCTACATACTTTCTCTCTTACAATTTATTCTCATTTCCTCCTTGGTTTTGTTTTTCCTAGGAAAGAAGAAAGTGGTCAGCATCTTCTCTAGATCAGAGGGACTATGCATTTGTCTTTACTTTTTATCATGAAAATTTCAAACGTAACACAAAGAAAGCAGGAGAGTCTAACAGGCCCCTGGGTATCTATCACCGCCTTCTATAATTATCCACTTTCCGCCTTCATCTGTCTTCCACCCCCATCTCAAACAAATTAATTTATAGGCATACAGTTCTTTTTGGTTTTGAAGTAAAATTTATATACCGTGAAATGCATGAAATCTTTTTTTTTTTTTTTTTTTTTTGCGGTACGCGGGCCTCTCACTACTGTGGCCTCTCCCACTGTGGAGCACAGGCTCCGGACGCGCAGGCTCAGCGGCCATGGCTCACGGGCCCAGCCACTCCGCGGCATGTGGGATCTTCCCGGACCGGGGCACGAACCCGTGTCCCCTGCATCGGCAGGCGGACTCTCAACCACTGCGCCACCAGGGAAGCCCCTGCTTGAAATCTTAACATTAAAATTTTGAAAAATACATACGTTTGTGTAACTCACATCCTCATCAAGATACAAAACCTTCCCATCACCCAAAAAATGTGCTCTTGTACTTTTCACGGTCCCTTTCCTCACTTCCCTGACTTTTCACCATATTTAATTTAGTCGCCTGTCCTAGAATATCTGTTCATTGCTTTTTAATATAATAAAACTATTTCCATTATAAAAGCTGTACATGTTAGGGAAAATCTTGAGGGTAAAATAAAACCCTAGAAAAACAGAAAGAAAATTGATAATGAATGGTCCCACCACACAAAGGGAAAAATCGTTAAAAGTTTTGTTTTCTTCTAGTTCCTGGGTGTAAAGTTTTCTTATTTTATGTATCTGTGATTGCTTACTTCACATGACTTCCCATAATAATTTCACATTACTCTCATAATAATTTCATAAGATAAGCATCTCTCCTATAATATTCACAAAGGAAAAAAAACCTGTCAACCTAGAACTTAATACCCAATAAAAATATCATTCAAAAATGCAGAAGAAATAAAGATTTTTGCAGACATACAAAAGCTGAAAGAATTCTTCAGAAACAGATGCACACTGCAAGAAAGTTTAAAGGAAGTCTTTCAGGCAGGAGGTAAATGACATCAGATGGAAATATGGACCTGCACGAAGGAATAAAGAGTACTAGAAATGGTAAATACATGAGTAAATAATAGGAATTTTATCTTATTATTTAATGTCTTTAAAAGATCCTAGAGGACATCCAGTCCCAGCCAAGGTGGAGTAGCCCCATTCCCCCCAGGTCCTACCCTCTTACAACTAAAAACCTCTGGATGTAACACAACATAGCAAACAAAAGACAACTCTGAAAAGAGTCTGAAAGAATAAAGTGAACTGCTTAAGGGACGCAGGGCTTGAGGAACAACACAGCAGTGGGTACCCTGTTTGGCTTTTTAGAAAAGTTTGTGATTGTGTGTTTGTTTTGTCTCCTACACATCCTGGATGGGGTACCCAAAGCTGTCAACAGGCACAGACAAAAAAGCCCTAAGAGGGCTTCCCTGGTGGCGCAGTGGTTGAGAGTCCACCTGCCGATGCAGGGGACACGGGTTCGTGCCCCGGTCCGGGAAGATCCCACATGCCGCGGAGCAGCTAGGTCCGTGAACCATGGCCGTTGAGCCTGCGCGTCCGGAGCCTGTGCTCCACAACGGGAGAGGCCACAACAGTAAGGGGCCCACATACCGCAAAAAAAAAAAAAAAAGCTCTAAGAAAAGTCTGCTTCCCTAGCTAAAGAACCAGTAAAAGGTGACATAACAATAGAAACTCTTGTTTGATCATATTTGCCCTACTTAAGCGCAACACCAATGGAATCCCGTGCCCCCTCCCCCCTCCCCTCGATCCTGCTCAGAGGATTCAGTCTGGCTGAGTGGGAGCTCATGGTCCACTCCCTTTATGGCAGAAGCAGGCGGCACTCCAAGTCCCCCACTGGGGTTGCACTAGAAGGGTCCATTAGGGAGCTGAACCTCCTCCCCCAACCTGGCACCAACAAGACTGACTGAGGCAGTGTGGGGTGACGCTGGTTGGAACTCTGCTTTCCTACAGCTGGTGTCAGCAGGGCTCAGAGAGAAGCTGAGCATCCATCCCCACCCGGCAGCAACAAGGTAGAATGAAGTGGTGTGAGGGACACTGTGTCAACAGGGCATAGAGGGGGCTGAACTTACGCTCCCCTCAGTGCCAGCAAGAGGATGTGAGTAGATGCTCCATTTTTCTCAGGAAGGTACCAGCTGGGCTGAGAAGGGGGGAATTAAATATCCACCCCTACCACAACCTACCACTATACCTAAACAGGGTGACTGCCTGCTAAAAAGGAAGGTTAACTAGAATCCAGAGTCACACAACATAGTAGCCAAAAGGTCCAGGATATAATAAAAAATCGCTTGTCACACCAAGAACCAGGAAAATCACACTTGAATGAGAAAAGACAATCAACCAGTGCTTACACCGCGATGACTCAGATGCTGGAATATTCTGAAGAGTGTTTTAAAGCAGCGATTATAAAAATTATGCAATGAGCAATTTAAAACACGCTTGAAACAAAAGAAAAAACTAGAAAATCTAAGTGAAGGAATATAAGCTATTAAAGAAACAACCAGTTGGAAATGATAAAACTGAAAGATACAATAACTGAAATAAAAACCCAAAGGATGGGCTCGATAGTAGTTTAGAGACAACAGGGAATGAATGAGTGAGGTTGAAGATGGATAACTGGAAACGACCCAATCTTAGTAATAGAAAAGGAAATAGGCTGAAAAAAGAAATGAACAGAGTCTGAGAGATCTGTGTGATGATCACAAAAGATCTAGCATTGGTATCATGAGCATCCCAGAAAAGAGGAGAAGAAGTGTGCAGCTGAAACAAGTACTCAAATAAATGATAGCTAAAAATTTCC